CCATTCTGAACCATTCGGATCGGTACTCCATCCTCTATCAAGTCTCTCTCCAGCCTAGAAAAGGGAATCGAGGCCGAGGCGGTGGATGGGTGAAAAAAATCAAATTCAAAGACATCGGGAAAGCTTTCGAGGTCCAAGTGACGAGAGAGGAGAGAGCACGGTGCAAGATGAAAGAATCAGGATGAAAAGCACTACTCCAGCAACAGGGTGTGAATTTCACGAAAGAGACAGAACAGGAAGGAACGAGAGGAAGTCCACCAGTCGATTCACCGAGACTTCGGCACCAAGCATACTCTGCAACTTAACGATCGATCCGCTTCGCTTGGATCCCAATCGGAATCCTTCGTGTCTACGGTCTGTACAACAGGTCTCGCAGGAACCAGGTTACTGCTCTGACCTCCCAGACCCGGGTGCCTTTTCTTCAGAATCCGCATCAAATCACGTTCCTGATGGCCTGGAAATAAGGGATGCGGTTGATGTCATCCTTCTGGATCCTTTCGAACCTCTTCTGCGCGGACATTCGGACGATGCGCGGCTATTGATCCACTCTTACCCTGTCTTCAAGCCTTGGGATCTCGCCAAGCCCGGGGGGCGCGACCGCACCAAGATTCAATCCAGTCATGAGAAAGATGAGAAAGATCCCGCTTTTGATGGAAAGAAAGATCCTGATCGCGAAGCAGAGGAGAGTAGAAGGTTTGTGAAGAAGGGGGAGGAGGAGAAGGAGGAGAAGGAGGAGAAGGAGGAGAAGGAGGAGAAGGAGGAGAAGGAGGAGAAGGAGGAGAAGGAGGCGACGTCTTTGGAAGCCTTCAAAGTTCTAGGGTCCGACGACATGGGTGAGGAAGTCAAGAGGAGAAAGCTCAACGGGCCGAATACCCGGAGGAGAGAGTTGAAGAGTGGGGACGGCGATCCGTACTTTGAGCTCATCAGTCTTGCTTCCGAGACCCTTCGAAAGGCGTGGCTTTGCGAGGATGGTCTTCATGGATCGCCGATCAAGAATAGGGACTGGTGGGACGCAGAAACTGTTAGGAACGGTAAGGTCCGATTTCCGGATTCCTCCAAGCCGAGATCCTTTCTAAGGGCTGCGGGATCAAATCATTCGAGAACGATCGATTGGGCTTCTGAGGAGAGGGGAATGGCACAGGCAAAGGATGAGGTGAGAGAGATGAAACAAAGGTGGAAAGAAAGAATCTCGTCGACAGGTTGGAAGAGCGGTGGGGGTTTCAAAGAGCGTTCTAGGGTGGAGGATGGAGAGGAGCTGGATGAGAATGATCTTGCTACCGCCGTTATCTTGTCAAGCTCGAAGAGGGAAGGAGCGGAGGTGCTCGGGAATCTGGGTGACTTGATCCATCGTCTGGTCATCAACCCGGGTCACACCCCGAGCTCCATTTCGCTTCGCGAAAGCATCTCGACTTCAGCCATCGAACCTCTTACTCCCACGGGCTGCAGGGTGGAGTTGAGGTTACCGAAAAGGAGCGGGTTCCTATGGACTAATCTTTTAGCGTCTCAAGAAATCCTGCCTTATGGTTGGAAATCCTTGAGGCGATTCGGTGGGTATCAAACGAAGAGCTTAGAGACGCCGCTAGCTCCCGTTCTTTACACTGGCTTGAATGCTCCTCTTCTATTCCATGGGACACTGACATCGAATGATTTCTTTTTTTACTCGCATGGCTCAATTTGGTTCGCAGTTGGAGAGGAAGGAGGGGTGGACCTGATTTTGATGGACCCGCCCTATCCGAACCGTTCAGCTGAAAGGCTCGCTCGCCATAGGAATTCCGAAAAGAAAGGTTGCTCCGATCCGAGAGAGGATAAGCTGAGAACTTCTAGTCGGAACAGAGGGAGAAACCATGCATACAAAACCCTGTCGGACCTCTACGACCTTTGGCCTCTCAAGCTTCCCTTGCAGAGCCTTCTTGACACGTGCCAAACTGGGAAGAGTGTCCTGATCGGCTGCTGGGTCACCAACGATGTGAGTCAAGAGGCTGTGCTACTGTTGTCTGGCAACAACCTTTTCTGCTCGAATCGGCGTCGCTTATCGCGCGTCTCTTGGATACCTTTCCGACCCTTTTCACCTTGATGTGTACGAAGCCCAAGGCAAAGCGTTTCATCGTGGACAAGCTCTTCCCCAGTCTTGGCGTACAATACTTGACCGAGTGGGCCTGGCTTAAGATAACGGCCGCCAAGCCGGAAGGAGAAGTCCAAGGGGATGGACACGGAACATCGGTCGATGGACAGAGGGTTACCGATGAGCTCGAAGGGAGAGGTGGCGAGCCGATCTTCGTCTCGAGAATGGGTGAGACGCAAGCTCAAGTGTTTAGGAAGCCCTACGAGCTGCTACTGCTGGGAAGATTATCTCGACCGGATACTAGCCACCTCGAGGGTCAAAGTGAGGGCCTCAAGGTTCCCGAAAAGAGAATCATCGCTAGCGTCCCTCTCGGCCACAGCCGAAAGCCTTTTATCGTAGGTGAGCTGAACCGTCGAAGTGTCCGCTGTGACGCGGGATTAGCCATATATGCTGCGGGGTGTTGCCTTCAGCTTCTCCCCCATTTCTGACAACTTTCCTCACCTTGTCTTATCGCCCCTTCATACGCTCCTCCGTTCGCTCCTCGTTTGCGCACTATTGATGATCCAAGATCTACTGGTACCGTACCTGGGATCGGGACAGACTGAGAACAGGAGTCTAACAAGGGGAGGTCCGAAAGTGGTCGAGTTGTTCGCCAGGACTGTTTACGCGGGCGAGTCGGACGTTGACGACCGCTTCTCTGTTTCTTTACCTCAACCTTCTTCATCAAGCCAATCGCAAATGGAGAAGCGATGGCTTGGGAGCGAGGGAAATCGTGGCAAAAATCAAGGGTCAGATTTCGATAGAAACGGCAGTGGCTGGTTCATCGCGGTGGGAAATGAAGCCACGAAATTCAACCAGCTCGGCGTAGGGCTCCTGGATTCATCAGACTTCTGAGGCGACTCCGAATCGAGCCTTGAAAGGAAGTGATGGGAGATGGTGAAGGGAAGGGGAAACAACGGCGATTATTAGAGAGGAACTCTCAAGAATCTGAGGGATGTGAGGAAGTGAAGTGAAGCGGAGCAGTACTTCCTCATCGGCCGCCTCAGAAATCAGAAAAACAAAGAATAAATAAATCATTTTCTAAGCCGAGGAAGGGGAGATAAAATGGGTAAAAGCGCATACACACTCTCTTTCCACCTTCCTTCTTCACGTCGTCCATATCTCGATCTTGTCGTTGCTTCCTCTCTGGCTTCGTCACAACCGGGAAAGTCATAATCGCAAACCCATCCTCATCCTTACTGGACGACTCTCGCAGTACTTACTGGTCTGTCCAAAGGCGGTAAGTTAAATGTTTGGTTCCTTTTCCTCCATAGATCCGTCGCTAATGTCTGTCTTTAACCAACAATTCAGCTTTGGGTTTTTTTTCGGCAGCAATACCAGACGATGTATCGTCAAGAACCTCCCCACAGAGCTCATACTAGGGATTTCGACTATGGCCCTCCTTCCAGGAACGTGGCTTCCTCTAGCAATGCGACGAGACTAGAGTTCAACAGGTACGAAGAAAATTCAAAGAAGGCTTCAGGTCCATGCAGAGTTCTGCTCTCAAATGAAGAACCATCGCTGTCCCTGCAATTGCCGCTCCCGTCCAGTATTCCGGCGGGTATTCCCACAGGATGGTCATCTTCTCCCGGTGAGGAGAAAGAATCATTCCATTACTCACCAACACACACAGAAGCCGACCAAACTGTCGTCGAGAACAGCCTAGTAGGATGGGAGAGCGGTGCTTTTGGATGGGAGAGCGGAGCGGTAGGTTGTGATCCATCTCTCAAGCATGAAGATTCCCTTTGGATCTCATCTAACGATGACAGTAGAAGGGCGGTGGCGAAGAAAGCCAAGGCCAAAGTCGAAAACTTCATCCGGTCGGACCCAAAAAGATCTTCGGATACGCAACAGGATCAGAATGAATGCGACCGCGCTCTCACCGAAATGGAGCTCAGGGCCATGCTCAAGATTTTCGGCGCATCTCCCATCCCTTCGGTCGTCAACGATCTTATTGCTACCTGGCAGTCTCAAGGCTCTGTAACCGATGTGCCCGGCGAAGAGACCAACGCAGTCGTCTCCTTCTCAGTGGAGCCCATCGACCCACAGGTTCCGCCCATGTCTTCGTCTGGACACATCCCTTCGCTCCATTCGGCCTCGAACGATCAACTCAGAACGAGGGTGATCGAACTCGAGCAGCAGGTGAGACTAACCCAACAGGCGCTGCGGAAAGCGTTGGAAGACAGGGCGAAGGAAAAGGTTAAGGAACAGAACCAATTCATGGTGCAAGGTAGGAGGTCTGTACAGCTCGCCGAGGAGCTGATCAGGAGATTGAATGCGACTCCTTCGTCAGAATCTTCCCACACCTCCCATCAACCCTCCCCTGAAGAGGAGCTTTGAAGCATGGGTTGCTTAGAAGGGGGGGGGTTACTAAAAAAAAATAATAAAAAAAAAGAGAAAACGAAGGCATTGAAAGAGGAGGGAATAGTCACGATGGCTATTTCAGATCTGGTTGAAAGCTCGCCATTAGGGTGAAGAAAGAAACTAGAAAAATCCTCCATCTAGTAGTAAGGGCAAAAATCGACGAGAAAAGGAAAAAAGGAGGAAACAGAAATTCCAAGCTTGCATGTTTGCTGAAAACGGTGATGTACTCAGGACTGTCCTGCACACACACACACAGACACACACACTAAGGGTCGAGTAGGGTTGCGTTGATATTGGCATGTATATTTAAACCAACCAACCAAGAGCCAGTGGTAGGAGGAGAGGAGCTTGATTTGAATCTTGGAGAGGAGAGCTGAATCCTGAAATCGCAACCTGCTGTCGCTTCGTGTCACTCGAAGAAAGAGAAGACGGAGTCCAAGTTGGCTGTCACAGCTGTCTGTCCATAGCCATGGCAACCGAACTGAATTCCTTTGATGGTTCATAATGTCAAAATCTTTTCCCTCCAACATCGATCGGGGATTTAGCTCAGTTGGTAGAGCGTTCGCTTAGCATCTGATGGATCTTATTGCGAAAGGTCGCGTGTTCGACTCATGCAGTCTCCACTTTCCCTTTTACTTTTGGAATCTTTTCCCGGTAAAAAAAAAACCTGAGAATTTATTACTAGCTCCCTTTATTTTAAACTACAAAACGTATAAGGCTTCAAGCCCAAAATCTGTCCACTAATTTTTCAAAATTAAAACAAAGGTCGCATCCCGCCTCCGCCCCCTTCCCGCTCCATGCAGACTGCCTTCCCAAGCCAACGGTCTTGGGTGTCAGTTAGCGACCTAGGCCGCATTTCCTTGCTTCGCCTGCTTCACCATACTTGACTCGCATACGTATACGCCCTATGACCCATCCTTGACCCAGTGAGCCGTTTACAGTCGTCCCCCTTCACCCCCTTTCCCCCCTTCCCAACTTATGCAGTAGCGCCAGTCACATGGCTGAGAGAGGAGAACCAGCACTCGGACCCTGGAAACTCTCTCGAACTCGAATGTGAACCGTTCGGGGGTCGTTCGATGGGAAGGCACCGCACTCTCGCTTTTCCGTGCTCTTGGAATAATGTGATAATTTATTGGACTTTTTATATCCTTTTCTGTTCGATCCCTTATAAAGTGGGAAGCGTTAAAAAAAAACCGAAAAAAAAACCTTGTAGTTGGAACCTTTCACCGTTTGTTTTCACAGTTGAGTATGCCACCTGCGTCGCTAGCGATGAAAGGGTCTTCATAGGAAAAGCCATCTTCTTTCCTCCACTCGAGACTCTCTCTCTCTCTCTCTCTCTCTCTCTCTCTCTCTCCCCCCCCC